ATTTATAAACTATTTTTTTAACCTTATTCAATTTCTAGAAGTTACTTAAAGTTTTCGAATAATATAATCATGCAGTCCAAAAGTTTTTTGAATCAGGCAATCTAGACTTTATTCAAAAGCTTTTTGCACAATCTAAAATCATTTTCAAACATGGGAATTAAAATATTCAGGAGGGTGCAGGACAAAAATATATAGGTGTAGGAAGAATTTGCCAAGTGGATTATGAGGCCCATTATTTAAAAAGAAAGGCCATATTTGCTCCAATCTCATCTTACAAAATCGTTCAAATTCTTGTCCATATATATATATATATATATATATATATATATATATATGGGTTTGCTAACGTGGCGTACGCCTGTTTTTCAGTTTTTAGCAATATGTACCAAGTTTTAGTAGACAAAAATACCTTTATATATCATGGATTCTAAGTTTTAAGGTTAAGGGTATTTTAATAATTTTCATTTTCAAAACTAAAAAAAAAAAAAGAAACCCCCCAAACCCTTACTTACCTCTCTCATTCCTCTCAAGCTCTTTTCTTTCATCTCTCTCACTCCAACCTTTTATCTGTCATCCCTACTGTAACCGTAATGAAAAAATCAGAAACACTTGCCTTTAAACAATTTGCCTTTGTAAAGCGTTGAGTCATTGACATATTCACCTTCAGGCAAAGGTTCATTCAAGATCTCCTCAATTTCACCATCTTCACTAACCTATATAATTTCATCATCTGCATATGTTGTTGAATTATCATCTCTAAAAAAAAATCCTCCAGGCCAATTACCAATTCTTTCGTATGTCCTTATGTTTGTGAAAATTAGATAAAATTATATACGATAAAAATTATAAAATGAAAACTCATTATAAATCATTTTTTGTAAGAAATTATTTAACAACTGAGTGTTTTTGATTTTTTCCAGTGTAATTACCAATTCTTTTGATGTCATTATCTTTGTAAAAATTAGATAAAATTGGACAAGACAAAAATGATAAAATGAAAACTCATTATAAAATCATTTTTTGTAAGAAATTGTTTAACAACGAGTATTTCTGATTTTTTTTCCAGTTCAATTACCAATTCCTTTATGCTTGTGAAAATTGGATAAAATTAGATAAGACAAAATTTATAAAACGAAAACTCATTATAAAATCATTTTTTGTAAGATTGTTTATTTCAATTGGGACTATAAGGATGACGACAGAGAAAAGATTGGAGTCAGAGATGAAAGAGAAAGAAAAAGGGTTAAGAGGAATGAGAGGTGAGTAAGGGTTTTGGGGATTTTTTTTTTTGCTAAAATGTACAAACTGAAAAAACAAACGTACACGCGTTAGCAAACTCATATATATATATATATATATATATATATCGGTATTGATTAAAATTTAATATCATAAATCATAAAATCATAAAATCATAAATAGATAATAAGGATTTTTTAATATGAAGTAATTGTCACTGAAAATGTTACAACTTTTAAAAACTTTGAAAGGAGGGCAACAGTAAAAGGACTTCTACTCTTGAAGCAATCTGAATTTTGCTCTTTTAAATATATTATACAAAAACTGATCAAATTACTACAAAAAGATTCTATTCCATCATTCATTTTTCTTTAAATTTGACAAATAAAAGCGAAATATTTTTCAAACCATTAGATTACAAAAATATATAATTTCATCAAGTCTAAAGATTTTGGGGGTGACAACTAGCCAATACAACATTAAAAATGAATTCAGAGGAATCTGAGACCTAGATGCAACCTAGATGCAAGAAAACATTATAGTCATGCCACATTCAGCAAATGATCCAAGTCTGAGATTTCCAAACATAAAACAAGGTTACCCATCTTGGTAATAAGTTCCAATACCAATATAATAATGTCTGAAAAGTTCCACAAAACGAAACAAGGCTACATACAGCCTTGCTCACAACTTCAAACAAAATAAGGAAGTTTCAATTTTCAAAGTTCCACAATCAAAGGAAGGATACACCCACCTTGCTGCTAAGTTTAAAGAAACAATAACGCAGTAGTACAGAATTTAGTAACTGATAAATAAAGCACAGATTCCCTCATGTTTTTCTGTGCTGCATGATATTGTCATTACTATTATTATGCATATGATTGCAAAGAAGATCTTTAAAGTGACCACTGAGGAGACTCACAGGCCCTGGAATCCCCAAGATCCATGTAATGCCTCCTACCCTGATGTGGCAGATCAAGCTCACCATGAAGATGGCTATGAAGAGACGGCGAAATTTGGCCTAGGCCGAGATCAGGAACACCCTCCGGCGAGTCAAGGGTCTTCAGGTACCATGAGGTGGCATTTGGAAGTTGATGGATGGCTGCAACCTGTGAGGAAGCAGCAGTGAATTGTGTTATGGATGTTCCATTGAAATTCAACAAGTTATTGTTGTTGTTATTATTGTTGTTCAGTTCAACACTTGGTTGTGTGATTCTGGAACCCCATGTTTGATTTGACAGAAGAGAGAGAGCACAGTTTGAGTCAGTGACTCCGGTGTAGCTTTCCACAAAAGGATGTTTGGAACCAATGAAGCTTGTTCCACCACTCCCTGATCCATGCATGAAAAATTCAGATGGTGTGTCTGAGCCGGTCTGCCAGGTTGCAGCATGGTTTCCGGGTAGTGGCTCGGCTGATCTTGGAGTTGGCAAGGTGTTTCTCAATGTAAGCTTTGGATATGAAGCAAATTCCATGAGAAAGCCACCAGCTCTACCATTGTTATCTGCTGAACATGAGTGAAACAGTTGAATGTTTTATAGGCAAGCAAGAGCAAAATCTGAAATTATTGATACGTCCTAGGATACATAAATGCATGTTTGGTTTGGAGTTGAATCCATGTTTTGGATGTAAAACATGGAAATTACTCAAAGTAGTTTCAATTTGGATTTGGATTATAAATCAACATTTGACTTGATCCATGCCAAAACAAACATGCACTAAGTACATAGAGAGGTTTGGAATTGATGTTCTGATAAATTCTAACCAAAAATAGAGGACGAAAGCCTGCCATTGCGAGATGTTAACATGGAGCTGGGTGGAGGCTTTCGCCGGCGCTCATTATGGCCGGCAAGTCGCCGGCGGCAGCTTCGCTTTCCTTGATCAAATTCAGAGAGCAGATGAAACCTGGGCAAGGACTAACAAAGAGAATATTAGCAGTTCTGAAATATATCGGCCACCAAGCTTATGTAAAGCATGCTACAAAAGATAGTATGAGCAGACACAAGATTTCAGAAACATAACCAGGTTTAAGTAGAATGCTACAAAAGAGAACGATTGAGAATTTCTAATATGTCAAGATTGCTTCTTATCAGTACATGCAGAAATGTTCGTGCATTTGATAATGGATAACATAATTGGCAACAGAACCAAAGGTTTTAAACTGAGGGTTGCAATGGCATGGGCGAAAAAACATAGCCTTGATGAGGTAGGTGTCTTAGACAATTGAGATTTGAAGTAAAGGGAATATGATTTAAGATTATGTAACACCAAGACATAATACCCTTCCAATTTAAGGAAGGTCACAGAAACTATATATAAAATATAATAACGCCAAATTACAAACTCAGATAAAGCTTAAATAGCAGGCTGGCTTAAGGTATGTTTAAACTCTTCTTATGAAACAGAAGACAACTGAACTTGAGTTAAACACAATTTAGACTGATATACAACATGCTTAAGGTGTGTGTGTGTATGTGTGTGTACCAATGCAGCTTCCATGAAAATGAAAATGAACATGAAAGTCAGTTACTATAAATAACACTTACAGACCATCCTTTCAACTACCCTTAGTTGAATAAAACTGAACTTTAACTTCAATTAGTAACCAATTAGCCACAAATATTGGATAATCAAAACCATATGTTTCCAACCATGTCTGAAAGCAGAAGAGAAAAAATAACAACCGAAGTCTTTTTCCCACTCAAAGGGTTTCAATATGTACAATATCCATAAACCAGGATACACCATTCAAAAATTCCCAACACTTTTTAGTTGTTAAATACCATTTTTCAACGTAAGTGATTAACATCCATCGTTGTCAGTGAGTAAGATTAAACATGAAGTCACTTAGATGAGATTTTCTTTCAAAATACAATACAGATCCCACATCACACAAGATCAGTGAAGGTGTATGAGATCCATATCATTATTTTAGAGCACAAATTTGTATGTTTCAAAAGTTGGAAATTTTACAAAGGGAACATCTTAATTTGAAAACTTTAGTTCTTCATGAAGAGAATCATCCATACGATATCTCAATCCAGAAAAGTAGCATTTTTCCGTCATGATAACCTTCCACTTCCAATATTACACACATGTCAGTATCATTTTGCCATTAAAAACATCCCAAAAAAATACCCAGTAGCATTTTCTGGCACAATGAGTCACTGAAGAGGAAATTAATTTCAGATGTAACCTGGCTTGAACTATTAAACAGAAAAGGATAAACAGTTTTTAAGAGCTGGATCAGAATTCAGGTGCCATAATGATAATCTTTATTTAAGAGCTCAATCCCTCCTCTGTTAACATCTAACTTCCAAAAGATATGAGTCTCTTCCTCACTTTCCTACCCTCTTCACGTACCAGATTAAAAGGGGAAATAGTATTTCATGAATTCATTATTCCAAATATTGACCTACATATTGACAGTTCTGAAGATGTAGTATAGTATGCCTAAACAGCAATCATGAATTCTTCACTTATCTGAGTCCATTCCACATTTTTTCACTTGTTATGCAGCTTAAATCATGTTTCACTCTCATTTCTAGACCTCTTTTTTGCCTTCCCTTGATAAATCCCCTTTCTTTTCACGGTAACTTCTTTTCTATTGTATGCTATCATTTATAACTCACGGTAACAACAGATACATCAAATCCATAAAAATGAGCCATTCTCGAATCAATAAGGAGCATCAGAAACCAAAAGACAAAACAAAACTTGCAACAGTTCACTTCACACACACTTAATTTATGAAGGGAAGCCCATGAATCAACAGTAACAATATAAATTCTACAGAAAGCAATCACAAGGAACAGAAACAGCTTGCTGAATGCCCTGAAATTTAAAACAAGCAACTCTGTCTAAAAACAAATGCAAAATATATAGTCAATAACCATGAAAAAGTGGATGCACCATGTTTGCCTTCATCATTGGAAAAAATAATTGACCATTTTTAACCATGAAATTAATCCAAACACATCACTAATTGACTATTATTATTTTTTTCAAAAACTAGCAATATAACAAAAGCACTAAAAATAGAAAAAAAAAACACTAAAAAATAGGAAAATCACTAAAAATAGCAAAAACGAAGATGCAAAATGACGAAAGTAAGGAAAACTGATAAAAATAGCAAAAAGCAAAGCAGAATGTAAGATGATGAAAGTAAAAGAAGAAGACTACCCAATATAGAAACAACACCAAAAATAGCAAGAAGCTAAAGAATAAGAAAGAAAAGAAAAATTTCCTTTATTAAGTCAATAATAAAGAAAAACAAAGAGAGAGAAAGAGGGTAACCTGCTACACTGTTGGCAAAACCTCTGTTCCAGACCAGCCACAATGACCGTTGGAGACTTGGAGTGCATGGCACAAACTTTGTGCCTAGAATAGTAAGCCTTAGCTCCACTCAGATCTGCATTGCAGCCCTGAACCTGACATCTAGGAGGCTGAGCCGGTTGCACTGAACCACCCCTTCCCTTCTTTGAAGAAGAAGAAGAAGAAGAAACCCCACCACTTGTTTTGGCCCCTTGAGTGGTTGCAGCAGCTCCAACACTCACATCCTCAAAGTAGATTTTCTGGCCAAATTTCAACCCATCAAGCGACTCAGTGGAAGAGTTGGGTGATGAGGAGGAAGAGGGTACTGCTGCTTTGCTCACTGAACCAGAAAAACTCATTCTTGCTGCTCGCTGCTTCTGCTGCTGATGCTGATGCTCAAGCCTTCTCTAGCTACCCATTTTTTTATTTTTGTTTATTTTTCAAACTTTATATTCATCTTTTTTATTATTTTCGATCGTCTGTTTTTAACTTTAAAACAATACATAAATACAAGTATTTGTTACGTGGATGAAGTAAAATATACAGCTATTTTCTTAAAATTAAATCAATTTATTTATATAACCCAGTCAGTAAAGAAAGAAAGAGAGACTATCTTCTTCTTCACTTTATAGTTTAAATTCTATCTATTTGACAAAAAATGAGGGAGAATTATATATAGAATGAAACTAAACATCTTTAGCTAATTATGGTTTAGAACATGAAAAATTTATCTTTGTGATTTTACGATTCATTCTCGTAATAATAGAATAATATGTTTGATCAGCTAATATGATCCGTGAATACAAATTAATATTTGGTGGTCAGTTTTTAAATATTGCAACTATTGAAAATATATATAACTATATTATCAAATGTCACATGTAGTGTTTTTATAATATATTTTCTGAGCATGTTAAATAATTAAAATATTTTATGATATTTAGAAATTAAATTATATTTTTCAGCCAGAGAAACCTACTATATACTAAGTGTTCATAATTTTTAGNAGGAAAATCACTAAAAATAGCAAAAACGAAGATGCAAAATGACGAAAGTAAGGAAAACTGATAAAAATAGCAAAAAGCAAAGCAGAATGTAAGATGATGAAAGTAAAAGAAGAAGACTACCCAATATAGAAACAACACCAAAAATAGCAAGAAGCTAAAGAATAAGAAAGAAAAGAAAAATTTCCTTTATTAAGTCAATAATAAAGAAAAACAAAGAGAGAGAAAGAGGGTAACCTGCTACACTGTTGGCAAAACCTCTGTTCCAGACCAGCCACAATGACCGTTGGAGACTTGGAGTGCATGGCACAAACTTTGTGCCTAGAATAGTAAGCCTTAGCTCCACTCAGATCTGCATTGCAGCCCTGAACCTGACATCTAGGAGGCTGAGCCGGTTGCACTGAACCACCCCTTCCCTTCTTTGAAGAAGAAGAAGAAGAAGAAACCCCACCACTTGTTTTGGCCCCTTGAGTGGTTGCAGCAGCTCCAACACTCACATCCTCAAAGTAGATTTTCTGGCCAAATTTCAACCCATCAAGCGACTCAGTGGAAGAGTTGGGTGATGAGGAGGAAGAGGGTACTGCTGCTTTGCTCACTGAACCAGAAAAACTCATTCTTGCTGCTCGCTGCTTCTGCTGCTGATGCTGATGCTCAAGCCTTCTCTAGCTACCCATTTTTTTATTTTTGTTTATTTTTCAAACTTTATATTCATCTTTTTTATTATTTTCGATCGTCTGTTTTTAACTTTAAAACAATACATAAATACAAGTATTTGTTACGTGGATGAAGTAAAATATACAGCTATTTTCTTAAAATTAAATCAATTTATTTATATAACCCAGTCAGTAAAGAAAGAAAGAGAGACTATCTTCTTCTTCACTTTATAGTTTAAATTCTATCTATTTGACAAAAAATGAGGGAGAATTATATATAGAATGAAACTAAACATCTTTAGCTAATTATGGTTTAGAACATGAAAAATTTATCTTTGTGATTTTACGATTCATTCTCGTAATAATAGAATAATATGTTTGATCAGCTAATATGATCCGTGAATACAAATTAATATTTGGTGGTCAGTTTTTAAATATTGCAACTATTGAAAATATATATAACTATATTATCAAATGTCACATGTAGTGTTTTTATAATATATTTTCTGAGCATGTTAAATAATTAAAATATTTTATGATATTTAGAAATTAAATTATATTTTTCAGCCAGAGAAACCTACTATATACTAAGTGTTCATAATTTTTAGATCTATGGCCTATTAGGTTTAATTTGTCCCGTAAAATGAACTTATCATTACAAAGTTCATTCGTTTTAAGCTCAACAATCAAGAAAATATGCACAGTCCAGTTAAATATTCCAATTCAATTAATAAAGGTGGAAATCTTATTAAGAATGTTCAACGTAGTTGAAACCATTTTCTCGTTTACCATTTGCATAAACCAAAAAAATTAAAAGATCTAAGTAGATAATTAAAAAACCTAGAATTACTATTACTCTTAGAACATAAAAATTATGTTTTAAAATTATCATTATTTATTATCCTAATTAATGTTTACCTAACAAGACCTCTTTTTTCTATAATATATGAGAAGAAAAAGATTAATGACATATTTCATGCTTCATGTTTGATTTTCTCATTTTTATTCTCTTACTTTTGATGTCTTACTATTATTATTTTTTATTAATGTTATTATATAAACTCCTATTTCAATGTTGTAATTATCACTTTTGTACTATGAACCTACTCATCTTCAAAAGATTCGGACTAATGTGCACGTGGACGGTTATAGATGTGAAAACTACGACTGGAATACTAAGTTTGTTAAGATATCATTAAATACTATCTTTATCATATACCTTAAAGTAGAAAATTATTATAATGTCTTATAAAGTATTTAGTTTGTCTTAAAGTAGAAAATATTATAATAGTATCTTATTGTGTATTAAAAAATTAGGACAAAACAAGTTAAAGTATTTAGTTTGTTTTAGTCCTTTTGTTATTATACTTAATTTTTTTTTTGGAAATTTTATTCTAATAAAAATATTTAAATTTATGATGTTACTCTTTGGAAAGAAAGAGAGAGAAGTGATAAAGGATAAAGGTGGGGGTTGGTGGAAGAGTTACATGTAAAGATAAAAGAAAATAAAAGTTACTTAAGAAAGTTGTCAGTGAGATGTGAGAACTTGTCTGTACAAATCCAAGGACCACGCAGCTGAACAATGCAGGATAGAAAATGGAGCTTCTACTTTTTAATATAAATAAAACTTAAATATTTAGTCATTTCATACAGTAAAGTATTGTATATTTATTTTTAATTTAATAAAAAACAATAGTATTTCGTTTTTAATAATCATTATGTATTTATTATTAGAGAAAAATTAATATTAATGCATTATTATTTTTTTTCTAAATTACTAAGAATTTTAATTTGTAGTAAAAATAAATAAAAAATCTTTTTTTTTTCTTTTAATAACTATATCTGATCATTACTAAAATGTTAAATTATTTTAATTATTACTAAATTTTAAAAAAATAGCTTTAATTATTATAAGATTGTAATTGTTTATATTTTAAATATATCATACTCATTATATTTATAGAATTTAATATAAATTGTAGGTATTAGAGTACACTAGTACAGAATTGGCCTTTAACGTCACTCCATAGACGTCGGTCCACCAAACAATCAACGTAAATTATTGACCGATGACATTTTCGTAAATAAGTGGGCATAGAGACGTCCGTTAGGAGGGGTCCCCGACGTCTATAATAGTATAAACGTCGGTGCCCCTCCTAACGGATGTCTATATGGCTGATAGGGTAGGTGAGGAGTTATTTTTTCAGCCACCTAGACGTCCGTTAGGAGGGGCCCCGACGTTTATACTATTATAGACGTCGGTTCCCCTCCTAACGGACGTCTAGGTGGCTGACAGGGTAGGTGAAACGTTCACTTAGACGTCGGGGTCCTCTAAACCGACGCCTATAAGTCCCGCGAATATGAATATTTAAATCAGAAAGACGTCATATTAGTTAGGGTCCCAACGTCTATACTATTATAGACGTCGGTCCCCCGCAACACCCGACGTCTACAGCCATTTATACTGAAAACGCGAACCCGCGAGGAGTTACGCTCACTGTTCATCGACTTCCCTGCGTTTTCTCTCTTAGACATTGCATTTCTAGGTGTGTTTCCTCACTTTTGGACCGTTTAAATTTACTTTTACTCCAATTAAATTACTCTTTGTTGAAATATCTTCCATTTGAACCGATTAAAATTCGTTTTCGTTACGTTGTGGTGCAATTTCTGGGTTGTGCTTGGGCGACTTTTGACTCTTTTTGGCCTACGTTTTTGGGCATGCATTACTCCATTTCCCTGCATTGCTTTTTTAATATGCTAAAAAGGTTAGCTTCTTTGTTGATAACTTTTTTGTATGCATGTTATTGGCTTTTGTGTATACATGTTATTGGCTTTTGCGTATGCATGTTTTTGACTTTTAGGTATGAATGTTTTATTGGCTTTTGAATATGCATGTGATAATTGTGTTATTATAATTGGCATGTTAGATTATAAGTATCAAATCATTGAGTGAAACTTAGTTCCCGTTTGAAATTTAACACAAACGATTAATCTTTTAATCATTTGTATTAAATTTTGAATTTTCCGATTGGATAGTTTGGGAAAATTATTTTTCATAATTTGCTATAACATGTATATTGGAGTTCATGGATAAGATTGATAAAATTTCGGTTCAGTATTTGTGTTGTTCTCCGGATGCGTATTTGATTGTGGTCATCCTTGACTACTCTCATTTCGTGTATTTCAGAGACCAATGCGAAATGCTGCTGAAATCTTATCAAATTTATGATGTATACTTCTTTGCATGTGTCTTAGCAATTTATGAAAAATAATTTTTCTGAATGGTAGGGCCTAACCTTGTGAGAGTTAAAAAACTGAAACTGATGAATGATTTTACGAACATAGTATGGATCGAAGCTGGATGAATGAACGTCGCATCAGTGAAGAATATGAGAAGGGTGTTTCAGAGTTCTTGCAATATGTTGAACAAAATGCTAAGTCTGTGAATGAGACATATTTTTGTCCTTGTGTTCGTTGTCTTAATCAAATACGGCAAGACTTAGGCAATGTGCGTGACCATCTATTCATGTTCGGCATAATGAGAACTTATACCGTTTGGACTTGGCATGGAGAAGTACTGCACCAGCCTACCACGTCACGAGGAACGAATTATGTGGAAGAATGAATGAATGATCATTTAGAGGACATGATACATGATGTCGGTGAAGATGATTTTGGAAAAGCTAATTTGTATGATTCTCTTATAAATGATTTAGAGCAATCGTTGTTCCTAGGATGCTTGAACTTTACACGTTTGTCTACAACTTTGAAGTTGTTTAGTTTAAAAGCAAGGAATGGATGGACCGATAAAAGTTTCACAGAGTTGTTGGAGTTGTTGAAGGAGATGCTTCCAAAAAATAATATTCTACCTATTCGTGATCACGAGGCACAATTTTTTTTTATGTCCAATGGGTCTTGAATATCAAAAGATACATGCTTGTCCTAATGATTATGTTTTGTACATAAAGGAGTTTGCTTCACTAAAGTATTGTCCAGCATGTGGTTTATCCCGTTTTAAAAAGAAATATGACAAAAACACTGCCGATGAAGGTAATGATGGTGCATCTGCTAAGGTGATGTCGTATTTGACTATAATACCTAGGTTCAAACGTATGTTCTCTGTTAAAGAAGATGCAAAGAACCTTAAATGACATTTTGATGGAAGAAAGTGCGATAATCTTCTTCGACACCCAGCTGATTCACCACAATGGAAGAAGATTGATGATAAATTTTCAGAATTTGGTGCAGATCCAAGAAACTTAAGACTTGCACTTGCAACTGATGGTATGAATCCTTACGGGAACTTAAGTAGCAAACACAGTTCATGGCCAGTTATGTTGATGATATACAATCTTTCTCCTTCGTTGTGCATGAAGAGAAAATATGTGATGTTGTCCATGATGATATCGGGGTCGTAGACAACCTAGAAATGACATTGATGTTTACTTAAAACCTTTAATTGATGATTTGAAATTGTTGTGGGAAGAAGGGGTGGAAGTGTTTGATTCACATGTTTAGGAACAGTTCCGTTTGCATGCAATGTTGTTTTGCACTATAAATGATTTCCCATCGTATGGAAACTTGAGCGGTTATAGTGTTAAAGGTCATTTTGCATGTCCCATATGTAAAGAAAACACTAGTCAACTTCAATTGAAGCATGGTCAGAAGACAGTATATACAAGATATCGGAAATTCCTTCCTTGGAATCACCCTTATCGTAGATTGTAAAAAACATTTAATGGAAGTGTTGAGGATGAGGTTGTGTCCAAACCTCGAAATGGTGAAGAGGTGTACAACGAAGTCAAAAACATTGACATTGTGTTTGGAAAACATCATAAAAGTACCTTTGCAAAAAACATTTGGAAGAAACGATCAATATTTTTTAAGCTTCCATACTGGTGTAAACTTGATGTTAGACATTGTATTGATGTGATGCACGTTGAAAAAAATGTTTGTGACAGTGTCATCGAAACTTTATTAAATTTCGAAAAGCATGACAAAATTTGGCTGACATGGGAATCCGATCTGAGTTACATCCACAGATAATAGGTAGATGCATCTATCTGCCCCCAGCCTGTCACACTCTTTCTAAAAAAGAAAAACAAAGTTTTTGTAACTGTTTAAGAAGTGTGAAGGTTCCA